AATAAGATGTGAAACATTTCTGGTGACCTTAAAGGGGGAACAAAATTAAATCCACTTTTACTGCTCGGGTTGCAAAACAGAGAGAATAAGGTGCCTTCAGATGGAGGGATGGTATAAAAATAACAACAAACAATCTTCTGATTCACTACATTGGAATATAAAGACAATTCAGCATCCAAACCAGTCACATATTGATTGATTGTATCCATTCAGAATAAGAAACATGAAGCCATTGACTATATTTAAAAAAAAAAAAAGGCCTTCGTCTCCCTCGTCATCCAACAAAGGAACCTGAACACTGGACCTCATTTCATCTTGAAGGACTCGCTAAGGTCTCACAGAACATGTTCCACCGTCATGTAGCACCAAGTCAAATACTCTTGAACAAACTCATTTTTACACGTTATTTTTGCACTTTTGTGTTACACCTACCACACTAGTATTAAAGTGTATTTGATGGAGATGGCCGGATGTCAGGGCAGGAAGCCCACGATGGCTGATAGAAAGTTCTTCGACCATTCGAACTATTTTACCAGCCATTTGTACTTTTTGGACGAGAAATAAATCTCTCAGTGCTTGTTGCTTTCCTGTCAAAGGTTGCAGGCTTTTGTCAGCCTCATATAAATATTTACCAGCGTTTTCACTGCTGGATGATGGGAAAGTTCCTCTGATGTTCTGAATGCAAAACGTTAATTTTTAGTTTCCCTGTGATTACGTGAATGCGCCAACTGTAGATATTAACTGTACAGTGTGTTCTCTTTTTCAACGGGGCCAACGGCATCGATCTGTAACCGAGGTTCAGAATGGCTTGAATTAACAAAACGTATGCTCTAAAAACCAAACGTTCATCAGGGTTCTTCAGGCTATTTGAGCAACTTTTGGGTTCCTCACTAGAAAAATGAAACAATAAAAATCCCTTAAATGTTTTTTTTTTTGTAGAAGCCTTTTTGTTTTCCAGGTTTGTGAAAACACCATCATGGATTATAATCAGTGGACGGAGTTCCTCAGGGAACCGTCCTGGGTCCCCTTTCGTTTTCAATCTGAAGAACCCCTTTGACTTTTTAGAGTGTGCTACTGATATTATTATCAATATTGTTGTGTGACAAGCTTCTACTAACATAACGTACTCCTTGGGCTGTTTTGTATTTTTAGCATTTTTAATTTTGTTATGTGCTTTACGAGTGTGAGATGATTTTTATTTATTTTTCTGATTTGGGCATCTTATGGAAGTACTAAAAACTTTTTAATTTTTAATATGTTTACAACAAAAACCAAGAATTTTCTGTGACTAACATACAACTAATATGTTCTAATATTTTTAATACAGACTGTGATAATTACTTTCACTCACCCCCACATGCTTTTTTTGCAAACACAAACCTCTGAATCATCGCAGAGCCTCAGCGAAGCCTCTCAACGTTTTAATGGAACCAAGCAGCACTTCTGCCTTTTAAAACAAACACACAACACATGCTGAGCTGTGGACTGTTTGGTCCCCAACATGTATCTGCAGTCACCGACAGAAACACTTAACACCGAGTCTAATCCAGAATAAAACAAGTAACTAAACACACTAACATCTAAACAAAGGTCTCGAGGAGCACTGGATCAAACCTACCTTGTACCGGATTACACAACATTTCACTCTGTTCCACTGCGATGCCCGAGCTGAATCAAGCGCAGCCTCACTAAAGTTCCCATTTTAAAGGTCCAGACGCAGGTTTATTTTTGCATGTTGTAGCCTAACAACTACAAACTGTATGTACTTTACATTACTGCCCTCCAAGTTGTTAGATTTGTTTCCTTCCTTTGGACAACCTTTGGTTTCAGAGTCAATCTCTAGATAGATAATCCATCACTATCGACGTTTGTTAGGAGTCCGAGCACCAACGCTTTTGGAGCTGTGCTGCTTTTGTTGTTTGTTTGTTTTAAGTCAGTATTTTGCTGGATCAGATCCTGTTAGTGTTCACTGCAGGAGGATATCTGAGGCGAACAAACAGACACATTTTCAGCCATGGTCTTGTGCTCATGGATAGTCTTTCTGACATGAGCGTGCTTCGGCCCCAGTAAAGTGCACCATTATCTCTTGTCAGTATATTCAGCTAAATGTCTTTGGAAAATAAGGAACGTTTTAAAACCTACTAAAGAACAAACAACCCTCTCTTCCTCCGTTAAACGATGCCCATGTTTCCTTGTTTTGTTAATTCTGTGGTTGATTTGCTGTCAACAAAGCTCATCAACGCAACACTAGCAGCAACCAAACATCAACTCTTAAACATAAATGTTAAAGACAAATTCTCTGCTGCAAGACTCAAGTCTTTGCAGGTTGATTTTTCATTTAAATAAATAAACTAAAATGAGTGGCTGCCTGGAAGGAAGGAAATCCATCTAAAATGTCTTGCATTGTTTGCAGAAGTAATGTACAGTACATGCAGTGAACATGCAAAGAACAACAGGCGTGGGCCTTTAAATGCTCAATTTAAATATGTTTTTCTTTCTGCCCGGGCCTGCTCTCCACTATCGGTTTGCATGTGGTATTTATTACAGTATCTGCACTGAATGAAAACTGTATTATAAACATGAATGTACATAACCATCGTTATATGAAAAAATAACAATGCGAGTACTCACTTTCCTCCACAGAGGGGCAGTTTGTCTCTGGCTGGCTTTACACAGGAACAGAAGATATGAAACAGATCTGGTCTGACTTCTGCGGGCAAAACAGGGAACCTTTAAAAAAATACATATATAATGAAAGCACATCAGTTCTGACTCAAATACAGTAAAAAGGTTCTTCTGTTCCTGTGTAAAGGCAGTCTGTGTTGTGTGTATCTATACGAGGGGCGATGGACCTGGTCTACGTTGTACGCTGCAACACTACGGACCGCTTTGTGGAGAACAAATATTTCTTGTTTATAATGTAGAGCAAAGAGAGACTGGAATAGTCCTTGTAAAGTTGTACGAGTACAGTGTCAAATATGTGTCAACAGAGACGACATTATTTTAAAAATTACATAAGGACAAATTTTAGCTGTGTATATAAATATATATTACTTGTACTTTGTTTTTGAAAATTGCAGAGATATGGAGAAAAAAAGTGGAAATATTTATTGCTCTAAAGATATAAAAAATCTGTTCATGTTGATGGAAAAGGTGTGTCCTGTTGTGTTTGGCTGATTGCACACACACACACACACACACACATTACAGTGGGATAAGGATGAGGATGAGGATGATTAGGGGTTTAGAAAAACATCCTTATGAAACAAAGCAGTTCACAAATAACCACAAGATTAAAGGAACACACGAACGGAGTTGGAGTCAGGACGAGGTTAGCTTAGCTTAGCATAAAGACTGGAAGCAGGTGGAAACAGCTAGCCTGGATCTGTCCAAAATGTAAAAGAATGACACCCCGACGCCTCTAAAGCTCACTAACTATTAACTAAGAGGTCGTATCTGATTTGTTTAATTTGTGCACAAACAAAAGTGTAAAAACGGGTTTAACAGTTTGTGTTTTTAGTCACAGTTGTGTGGTTTTTCACTTAAACCTGAAATTACAATAACTCTGTTGTGACATTTTCATAATATGTTCAACATAAAACATCACACAAAATAAACGAGACACACAACACAGACGGTGTGTGACATTATTTCCATGCAGAGCGGTAGTTGTTGCACATCTTGTCTTGTATTTGTGGTAAAAAATAAATAAAAAAGGAGAGCATCTGCACACGGGATTAATTCTCCATAAATGTTTATGAGTCTCTGCTGTAAACTGGCAGAGAAAATGTTTTCTATAATAATCAGTTGATATGACAAAAAAATACCTAGCAGCGCTCACGATACAATAATAATAATATTAATAACTTTATTATATATTGCACGTTTAAAAACAAAGTTTAAAAAGTGCTTTGACAGACAAAGCAGCAAAAGAGACGCAATAAAACAACAGAGAGCTCAGTGAGGCACAACAAAGGAAGACAACACAGGTAAGAGTTGAACCTAAAACAGTACAACAGATGAAACGGAAACAAATATATATATGATTAAAATAAATAAAATAAAATAAAATAAAATAAATAAAATAAATAAAATAAAATAAAAATAGATTTAAAAATAATAATAAATAAATAAATATATAAAAATAAATAAATAAAATAAAGCAGTAAAGCGGCGACATCACAGAAAATCCAGTCTGTAAAAATAGGTTTTAAAAATTAGAAATACACCTTTTTTTCTTATTTGGGAGGAGATGTTTTTTGTTTTTTCATTTCTTCCAGGAAAAACAAAACAAACCAAAGTTGTTTGTCACACTTTTATTTTTATGCTGCGCGTCTTATTCTCTTTCTAATTCTGTAGAATTTTTGGAAGATGTTTATTTCTATTAAAATATGAATTCAGCATAATGTTCTGCTTCTGCAGTCATCACAGTCAGTTCCTCAGGAGACCAGCAGGTGTCACTGTTTCACACCTGAAACCATCCGAACCCCATTAGAGACTCTTTAGGGCCCCTAAATTTAAAAGGTGAGATGAATGTATGATATGAAACAGTCCATCTTCACAAGTAGTGTACTTATGTACGCATTTGGGGTACTTGTACTTCAGTATTACGATTATATGACACTTTATACTGCTCCTCCACTATTTCTCAGAGGTAAATGGTGAATAATAGTAAAAAGTTGAACTGATTCATAAATATTTTTACTTTAACTTCATTTAGTTGATATTACCTTTAAGTATTTTTTTCGAAAGCAGGGCATGTAATAGTAATGACGTATTTTTACAGTGTGGTATTAGTACTTGTAATAAGTAAATTATCTTAATACTTGATGTTTTTATTCACTCACTATATTTTATTTTTGTATATATCTATGCGTATTTGTGACGATAAACCACTGCATTTTTTGCATACAAAAATTTTGCAAAATTAATTTTATATAATTATTATTTTATTTTATTTCTTTAACGCTACGAATCACATGTTCAGTGTTTCCGGTCGAACCGGAAGTGCTTCGTCGAGTTTTCGAAACACTGCGGAACGTGTCTGTTGCAGCAGCAAAAGTTCCTAAATGTGGTGAGTTAACGTTGATTTTAAACATATAAATTAATTCGAGATATTATCAGCAACAAATGTGTCCGTTAACGATTTAAAAAAACAAACTGACACCGAGACAAACGGTTTGTAGATCCGGTAATTGAAAGGTTAAAGAGTGACCGGTACGCCAACCGAGTCTTTAGCTTAGCTAACTTTCTCTACGGAGAAACGGCGTCTGATGCTAACGATAGCTGTTAGCTGGCTGGTGGTTAGTAAGGAGTGCGCAGGTGTCAGTAGCGAGCTAGCTAGCTAGCTAGCTAGCTTAGCTTCAGTTTGGTCCGTTAAAGGCAACGACGAGAGCTTCAGTAGTGTCCGGTTGTTTTGTTTAGTTAGCCGTTAGCTGTTAGCCGTTACAACAGGTCTGTTAATGTGTCACTGAGTCTCAGTGTTTAACGTTACATCTGCTCAGATATAACATCGTGTAACTGTTGATTATTAACTTTAACTGTATCTTATGGAAGAATAACGTTACGTTTATTTGCAGTTGTGTAAGAAGTACTCGGTACTGAAGTAAAAGTAGAAATACTGCAGTCTAACAATACTCAATTAAATTAAAAGTCCTGCTTTCAAAATGTAAAACAGTAAAATCAACTCGTTGTATTTCTCTTCCATGATTTTAATTAATTCATTGTATTTATTTAAAACATTTTTTTATTTTATTTTTTTATTTTATTTTATCTAGCTATTTTATGTGTTTTTATTGAATTTATTATTATTTTTAAATGTTACTTTTATTACTAGGTTTAATAATATTAATATCTCGTATATGAAAATAAATTGAGCATCATTTAATGTGTAATTCACTGCTTGTATTCATCTTTCATTATTAAATCATCATTCTATTTCTTAAAATAATTTTATTAATATATAATGTTTTTATTTATTTTATTATTATTTTTAGGCTTTTTTATTATAGGTTTACTATCATTAAGTTGAGCATCATTCATTTTTTTCATAAAACAAATCTTTACAAAAGTACAATTAGTAAAATCTACTTTAAGTATAAAAAGTAAAAGTACTTCTAATGCAGAATAAACCTTTTTACATTAATATTATTATAAAGCATGTTATTCTGTTTTCATCACTTTTTAAAACATATAAGGGCAGTTTAATGTTGTTGTTTTTCAGTGTGGAGCCAGATTTAGATAGTAGTATAGTACTACTCTAGTACTGCATTATATCATAAATATCATTATTTAAGTCCTTGAACACACCATGTGTTTACAGATTCTGGCTCCAATAATCTGTATCTGTGGAGTTCAGAGGGTGAAGTATGTAAACACAGTTCTTTTCCTCTTCCAGAGCGACTTCCTCCGGCTGGCTGGTTGAACAGAGAGCGATGGCCGACCCAGAGCTCCTGCTGGACTCCAGCATTCGGATGTGGGTGGTGCTACCCATCGTCTTCGTCACCTTCTTCGTGGGGATCATCCGTCACTACGTCACCCAGCTGCTGCACAGCGACAAGAAGGTCGACCTGGAGCAGGTCTCTGACAGGTGAGACGAAGTCCAGTGGCTCTGAAGATGTTTTCATCTGAAGATGATATATTCAGACTAATGAGTTCATGTAGACGTGTCGTCACTGTTGTAGTGATGCTGCAGAACGATCTGGTTCTGAACTGATCTGAGGTCGTGTTGTTGTTTCTCTTCAGTCAGGTTCTCCTACGCAGCCGCATCCTCCGAGAGAACGGAAAGTACATCCCCCGACAGGTGAGAGACCACGATCATATGTATGTATGTATGTATATATATATATATATATATGTATGTGTGTATATATATATATATATATAT